CACTCCTATGCCGAGGGTCTTCAGGACATCGTTGTCCCAGCTGAGGGTCCTGAGGTTCATCAGCATAGTTCGAGATGCGTTAGTGACGTCAGTGACATGCAACCCACCGTCCACACCGCCGGTCATGTTCCAGATCAACCATGTGTCGATGGTGCCAAAGAGTGCATCCCCTTTCTTGATAGCCTCTTTGACAGCATCCACATTTTCCATCAACCAAATCAGCTTCAGCGCTGAGAAGTAAGTGCTTATGGGCAGGCCACATGTTCTGACGAAATGAGTTCTTCCCCCTGATAGTTCTTTCTCCAGTCTCCTGCAAGATCAGACACGTTTCTCCCGTGAGTCATAGTCCCCTGAAACAGATTGAGAGAGTATCAGACACAAATCCAAATGGTGAGAGAACATACATGCAGATAGAACTGGTGCGGGCGTCCATCCAGACAATGGCATTGTAGAGAGGAAGACCAGTGGATTTGCTCCAGACAACGGTTGTCTCTCTCTGATCCGTGAGCCCAATGGCCTTCAAGCCAGCGTCCACGTTATGCCCATCAGCCGTGGCCTTGTCCACAGCCTTTGCAACGCACAGTTTGACACTCTCCAGTATCTCCATTGGATTGTGTTCCACCCATCTTCACCCCCATCACAACCATATCATTAGACAGACAGACAAAAAGTTCAGACAGATTAAAAAACACAAACTTTTGGGATCAGTTCGAATCAAAAGTCCCAGATTTAGACAATTTCCAGACTACAAGGAACACTTTCTTAGATAAAAAGCATTCCTTTTACGTCAATGTGTTAATTGCGTCGAATTCATCGTATATGTATTACGCGGCTTATATACCCAAAAACATTGAAGAATCCGAAGGAAATCCAGAACGTAAAGATCGAACAAAAGATTCGGATCACGCATTCACAGCCTATACACGCATCGTCAAATTTCGATTCCCGAGTTCTAACCACAGACACTTTTGCAATTCCCTATCAGAAAAACTAGATACGCGATCAGAAGACAGATCACGAGCCATACGCTTCATCTCATAGGCTTTAAGTCAAATCTCATAACGCCCGAGTCAGGTGTGTGTGAGAGAGAGAGAGAGAGAGAGAGAGATTACCCAGCTTCGGGATAGTACTGAGTGAACTCGACCTGGTGAGATCCAACGGAACGGGCATGATGATCGTAGATGATGAATCTGGTGCTGGTGGTTCCCTGGTCGATTGATCCGATGAACCCCTTGTCTCCTGACATTTTTCTATCTTTTTCGTTCTTCGAGTTTTCTTGGGAACCAAACAGAGGAATTGCGTATTTATATAAGGAGAAGAATAGGGGGAAGGAGAAACAGAGCGTTGAACAAAAATGGGGGGAGAGAGAGAGAGGATGGGAACGACTTTACTCCGTCAGAGATTATATCGGAAAATTCACCATTTTATCCATAAAAAAACTTCATTATCATATCTTTAGTTCACGTGACAACGAATTCCGTGATGCTTGGAAACTAATTTCCCTTTTATATTCACCCAACATATATTTTACCTACATATACTGATATACACACACGGAATGTTGATGTCATCGACACTGTATTTACTATTTTATCCCAACTCTTCGTTTAGGGTTAACGACAATAAATCCCATATTTTTGGAACAAAATCCATAATTTTTAGTAACAAACACTGGATTTTCCTAACCAATAGCACGTTTTCAAATTTCTATCTTTGCAAAACTCGCTTTCTCGCTAAAAAAACGGATTTTTTCCCCCAAAATTGTGATCAACCTTCTATGCGTAGTTAAGTTTGGCATTTATAATATAGTTTGATTATATTCTTATATACATATATATAACCAAATCGAAGAGACTTGTGCTTACAATTTTTTTTTAAAAAAAAAGATTAGCATGTTGGCTACATGCCATGCCACGTGGCAATCAGTTGAGATTTTTTGGGGGAAAAGTCAGAACAAACTATAGATAGCTTCGCTGATATCAGACTGCCACGTAGATATCTTAAATTGGATATTTGGTCACAGTTCTCATCGTTGACTTTGACTCCGCGGACACTCTAGTCCATTCGGAGAGACCTGAAAAGCGTGAATAATTGGAGATGGGTTTAATAATGATTCATAATCAATGGGAGCATCAGGCGATTAAAATTATTAGTTATTATCGAAATTTATATTTTCTTATTGTAACCATTAGCCAATTACCCAAACGCCGTATAATAACAAGGGACCACGACGTGATGAAAATGACCCAAGATTTAAATAATGCCTTTATCCAAAAACATTGTATTAAATGCCAACGCTAGTTTCATAAATATATATATATATATGAGAAGAAACCATGGGCCCTTATTATATCTCGTCCTTCCATAGTTAGGCCTATATGTTTTATATTCGCCAAAGGCCTAATATTTGTTATGCAGAAAGCCCATTTAACAACAATTATCCACGTCACAATTCTGCTATAATTCCCATATGAAATGCGGTATATATATATATGTATGTATGTATGTATGTATCATGCATCATGTATGTATATGTATGTATGTATGCAATAAGGTTGCGATTTGCAAAGGTGAACAAAAAAAACAAAAAGAATAATTAAGTAGCAGGAGAGGCCCATGACACACTCCTATTTCAAATAATAAATACAGAGTGTATTGTTATATATATGCTTATATGTAGAGACATATATAAAGCTGAAAAAAAGGGATATGGCAACCATTCCTAAAAATGCCATGGAATCTCGAATATCCCCTTAACTCTGTCTTGTCATTTTTTTTTTTCTCTAAGGCATCCATATATTATTATGTATTTTATTCGAAAATGAAAGGAGTGCAAGGCTGTAATTATTCCGCGGGATAAAGGTTATATCCGATATTCTTATTCCTATGCATTTTATACCTCAACCAAAAGCTTATACGAACTCTAACACGTCATAATCTTGTCATTTAAAAATGTAAAATTATATGAATTTACAACAAAAATAACCATCGTGATAAATTTAAGTGAAAAAATATATATTTTTTTAAATGATTGTATTTGTTGGCGGAAATATAAAAATAAAAGGAATTATCGTATTGGGACGTGTGTCGGTGACGAAACCGAATCAGAGGCAGGAGTTAAAAAAAGATACAGCTGGATCGTTGGATCTGACGAATCCTCAGACCCACCAATCCGACGGTCAGAAATCGTTTCTCTGTGCCCCACGTGTGGACCCCTCTCTCTCCTCACAGTTCACTTGTCTCGCTCCCTCTCTCTTCAAGACAAAGCAAAGCAGTTTAAGTTCCTACGAAAACAATATTTCTGATGATCTCGATCACAATCACATGCAAGTTGCAACCACTAAAAATGATATATTTATTTTCTCTAAATATATTTATTTTCTATTATTTTCCTTTAAAACCACACTACCTTATATAATAATATATCACACGTTGATATATTCAATTTAATTAACAATCATATTCTTTAATATTTCGCATGCTCAAGGTCAAAATATCTATTTAGATTTTGTATTGATTCAGTTATTATTTTTTTGGTACTAATCACCGTTATTACCTTGTTGTTGTTTATTGTATCTTACTGGCTTTTAGTCGCATATCTACACCTAAGTTTGGTGCGTTTTCATTTGCCATAACTATAGGAAAAACATTATCATTATGACAACCATGCATAACGTATTATAGGTTGGAAAAAAAGTCCATCGATAGCTTTTATTTTTCGGACTATTATTATGAAATATTGCTACATTTAAACCGTACGTGCCCCGGAAAATAATATTTGATAGGTCATATATTATCATGTGTAAATAATATTTATATGATATGTTTTCCTGATTTGTTGGAAGCCCCAACAAATGAAACCAAGAAGAAACAAAGGAGATGAAGCATGAGTGAGTGGGCATCGATGGCAAAAAATAAATAAAATATTTAACAAAAAAATAAAAATAAAATAATAGAATATTATCCGATTTGCGGGTTGCACGCCATTCAATATACACACGCAAAGACGTCATAGCCGTTCGGAAATGCTTCCGCTATATCCTCGGTTTATTATTATTTTTTTTTTGGAATTTTAGTGAGGACCATGGCATCTTAAATGCACCGATTCTCCGCCCACTAAATGAAAATATTATATCTTACAAATGTTTATAGATAATACTAGCTATATATATATATATATTTATGAAAGTTCGAACGTTTATAAAACACTGATGGAAATATGAGCTTATTATATATGGATATATGCATATACTCTCGTCAATTTGTAGATTTTTTTATATGGTAATATTATCATAAGCAACAAATGTTATTCTTATACCAAATTGGCCAAATTGGATAAGACTAAGAATGGGAGATAATCAAGGTGGATAAGTACAAAATTTTAATTATAAACTAATTTATTTCCATTACATACGTAAAATTATTTACGGTATCTATAATAACAAAAAGACGATAACATTACCAATCGGATCCGACGGCTATAAGCGATCTATGCTAGTGGATGGTCCATTTGCCCTAGAATCAACGGTGAGGATTGGCCTAGGCGCATCGTTCGTGATTATCATCGGTAGATGCAAAGCTACGCCAGATGGGACTCGAAAAGGACGGGAGGATAAATGAGCGCGTTCCTGACACTTGGCGCGTCCGAAACACGCGCTGCCACGTATTTATCTCGTGTTACAGATATCCATACGCTCTTTTGGAGCTACAGGTTAAAACCGTTAGATCTGAGGAAGAAAGATTCAACGGGTAAGATGTGCTGAGTGTATAGTAAGAACGTTGCGCTATAGCGCACCTAATTTCGACCTTCATTCTCTGACGGGAGCATCCGAGAGCATTCTTATAAGACGACACGATATCTCACCGAGTAGCTTCAGTGCTTCTCCTCGTTCTTGTTTGGCGCATCTCTCTCTCTCTTCTGATTCAAAGCGTACGGACAACGGAGAGGGATGGTTGCGGTGGCGTTGTTATCGGAAATGGGGACGGAGATCGTGGTGCCGTTGTGCGCCGTAGTCGGGATCGTGTTCTCGCTCGTCCAGTGGTTCCTCGTCTCACGCGTGAAGCTCACCGACGACAGGGGCGCGTCGTCCGGCGGAGCTAACAACGGCAAGAACGGATATGGCGATTACCTTATCGAGGAAGAGGAAGGGGTTAACGACCAGAGCGTCGTCGCCAAGTGCGCCGAAATACAGACCGCTATCTCTGAAGGTGAGACTTCGCAAGACAGATTTCAGATCTTACGGTTCTGTTCTTAGATCTCGTTTTGTTTTGGCTCGTTGCCGTCGTGGTAAAAGGTTATTATTTGAAATCTCCTGTTTGGCTGAAGGGAAACAATGGGTAAGTTTCGAAATCTTAAATTTGGTCCTGTGTATCTAGAACTCACTTTGCTGGGTTTTGAACATTCTTAATCCTTAATGGTTGTTATGTGCAACCCCAATCATGTTCCATGAGTGGTTGTTTTACTCGTTAACAGACGTGTTTTTCTCAGTCGTAAGAACCTCTGTCTAGAGTTAGTTTGGGTGTTGATTGTATTTTGGCGTTGGAAGGAAGTACCGTAAGCTCATATGAGTGCCGAGTTTTAGAATCCATTTGGGTGTTGGGTTACATGGTAGCCTGGTCTTAAAGGTAGCTACTTTAATGGCCGAGTAATACCTACGTTTTTGTTTTTGTGGGGATTCTACTTTACTTATATTAGACGCGAACTTTAATTTTACATCAGATCTGTAAAAGATAAAATTTTTTCGGGTCTGTTGAAATGTAATGTTTGGTTAGATATCGTTATCTTGTTCGGTCGTGTTTGTGTTTGCAGTCCCCTACTCTCATTGTTTTGTCTCATTTAAGAAAACGTGTTTTAGCTTTTTGAGTTTGGTAGGGCATAGCTTATGAGTGTTTCACGTGCCCCTTACGTGGATCAGGGATTATATTTTTGTAGTCTTGTATGGTTGTGCGTTTCATGATGAAGGATCTTTTCTGATCTTGGAACCTAATTTTGGGCTTCTTTAATCTAACTTATTAAGTTGTTGAATCTTGACTCTTTTTTTGTTTAGAAAACCTTATTTATTTGTGTGGCCGTGTTGTATACGCTGGTAAATTATATTTTGGGTTTGGAGTATTACATTGCTGCAGTTAAAAACTTTTGTATTCAGTTCTATATCTAGCTCAAAACGGTTTTATACATCATTTGTCTGTGTTAGTATACTGGTACTTATTGGTGTCTCTGTGTGGAACAGGTGCGACCTCTTTCCTTTTCACCGAGTACAAATATGTCGGTGCCTTCATGGTTCTGTTTGCGTTTCTTATCTTCATATTCCTTGGCTCTGTGGAGAGCTTCAGCACAAAGAGCCAGCCTTGCACTTATGACAAAACAAGAACTTGCAAGCCTGCCCTGGCCACCGCAGCCTTCAGCACTGTCTCCTTCTTGCTTGGTGCCGTAACCTCTCTCCTCTCTGGTTTTCTTGGAATGAAGATTGCCACATATGCGAATGCTAGGACCACCTTGGAAGCAAGGAAAGGTGTTGGAAAGGCATTCATTACTGCATTCAGGTCTGGTGCTGTGATGGGTTTCCTTCTCGCAGCAAATGGTCTGTTGGTACTCTACATTGCTATCAATGTCTTCAAGTTGTACTACGGCAATGATTGGGAGGGTCTTTTTGAGGCTATTACCGGTTATGGTCTTGGTGGATCTTCCATGGCTCTCTTTGGTAGGGTTGGCGGTGGAATCTACACTAAGGCTGCCGATGTTGGTGCTGACCTTGTGGGGAAAGTAGAGAGGAATATTCCTGAGGATGACCCGAGAAACCCAGCTGTAAGTATAGTTTCTTTAGACTGCGTGATTCCATACCTGTTTTTGTTTGATTTTTTAGAATTTAAACATCATTAAGTTGTTGTGTTACAGGTTATTGCTGACAATGTTGGTGACAATGTTGGAGACATTGCTGGCATGGGCTCTGATCTTTTTGGTTCATACGCCGAGTCATCTTGTGCTGCTCTTGTTGTTGCATCGATCTCGTCTTTTGGATTGAACCATGATTTTACTGCCATGTGCTACCCATTGCTCATCAGTTCAATGGGAATCTTGGTTTGTTTGATCACAACCCTCTTTGCGACTGACTTCTTTGAGATCAAGGCTGTCAAGGAGATTGAACCGGCATTGAAACGACAGCTCATCATCTCAACCGCCATCATGACTATCGGAATTGCTGTAGTGACATGGGTTGGGGTGCCGTCATCCTTTACCATCTATAACTTCGGAACACAGAAAGTTGTGAAGAACTGGTAAGATTGTTTCGCTTGCAGTATATCACATATTATTCTGCAGTTTGAAATGTGAATTCTTTGACAAGGAGCATTACTTAAATTGTGGTTCCAGGCAGCTCTTCTTGTGTGTTGGTGTTGGTCTTTGGGCTGGACTCATCATTGGTTTTGTCACAGAGTACTTCACTAGCAATGCATACAGGCAAGAATCTACTTTGATTGTATCAGAGTACTGTTTTTTCTATTCTGGCTTCTATGTTGACCTTTATTTTATGTCCATCCTTCCATGCAGCCCTGTGCAAGATGTGGCAGATTCGTGTAGGACTGGAGCAGCCACCAATGTGATCTTTGGACTTGCTCTTGGTTACAAATCTGTCATAATTCCAATCTTTGCTATTGCTATCAGTATCTTTGTTAGCTTCAGCTTTGCTGCAATGTATGGTATTGCTGTTGCTGCTCTTGGAATGCTCAGCACCATTGCCACTGGTCTGGCGATTGATGCATATGGTCCCATCAGTGACAATGCCGGTGGTATTGCTGAGATGGCTGGCATGAGCCACCGCATCCGTGAAAGAACCGATGCCCTTGATGCTGCCGGAAACACCACTGCCGCCATTGGAAAGGTATGGCCCTCTTCTACTGTTTCATTACTGAATGAAGGGCTTTTGGCAACTTGTGGTTTGTGACGTATGGTATGCATCCTGGTTCGGTGTCTGAAGGGTTTTGCCATCGGCTCTGCTGCTCTTGTGTCACTGGCTCTCTTTGGTGCCTTTGTGAGCCGGGCAGCGATCCAGACCGTTGACGTGTTGACCCCTAAAGTCTTCATCGGCTTGCTTGTGGGTGCAATGCTTCCATACTGGTTCTCTGCCATGACAATGAAGAGTGTGGGGAGTGCAGCTCTTAAGATGGTTGAAGAAGTTCGGAGGCAGTTCAACACCATCCCGGGACTCATGGAGGGTACTGCTAAACCTGACTATGCCACTTGCGTCAAGATCTCGACCGACGCGTCCATCAAGGAAATGCTTCCTCCAGGTGCCCTCGTCATGCTTACTCCTCTCATCGTTGGAATCCTCTTTGGCGTCGAGACCCTTTCCGGTGTCCTGGCTGGCTCCCTAGTCTCCGGAGTTCAGGTAATCTTCTGAAACCGACTCGAAAATGAGACCGTTTTATCTGGTTTTGATATAAAAACCTGGCTAATAACATTGCAAGTAGCTAGAATGATGTGTTTGGTAAACAAAGAAATGAGCATCAAAACTGGTTGATATGAATGATTTGCCAGATCAGGCTCGAATCAATTTGTTCGTCGTCTTTCATATGTTCATGGACACACCCTTTTGGTATCTTTATAACAGATCGCCATATCTGCATCCAACACTGGTGGTGCTTGGGACAATGCCAAGAAGTACATTGAGGTATGTGCGTGTGTGTTTAACAAGTACTTTCCTAAAAGAAAGAGACATAATTCAAAAGAATGTTTTGATCAAACTCTGTAATTGTAAACAAAAAAAAAAAATGTGTGAAGGCGGGAGTATCAGAGCACGCGAGGAGCCTGGGGCCAAAGGGGTCAGAGCCACACAAGGCGGCGGTGATAGGAGACACCATTGGAGACCCTCTGAAGGACACGTCTGGGCCGTCGTTGAACATCCTCATCAAGCTCATGGCCGTCGAGTCTCTCGTCTTTGCCCCCTTCTTCGCCACCCACGGCGGTATCCTCTTCAAGATCTTCTGAACCCACGGAGACTGGATGATGATGATGATGAAGAAGGTTGATTCTATCTCACACTACCATGCCTTTAGGTGATTGCGTTTTTTTATGCGGAGCGAACCTCGAGATGTTTTCCCCTTTTAGATTGTTAGAAACCATAAAAAGAAAGGGAAAAAAAAGGACGTCATGAATTTTTGAGACTTTTTGCTTGTGTAGCTCCACTACTCTCTCGTCTTTGAATCTGCGTTTTGTCCTTTTTCTTTGTCTGTTCTGCGGTGAAAATCGTGCCGTTCTTTTACGAAAGCTCCACACTTTGACGTCTTGCTGAGATCAAAATCAAGAAACAGTGAAAGAGTCTTGATTTTTTTTTTGTCGTTGTTGTGTTATGATCGGCTCTTCGTATCCAAGACTTAAGCTACGCATTTCCCACCTCGTCCTGCCCCTTGGCTCCTGCATGACCTCTTAACCTGGTTACTACTACAGCCAAAGAAAGCATGAGGGCAAGTTCCATTAGAACGAGATCTCAGATTTCATTCCTTGCCGGAAGAGCTCGGAAATGTAATAAATAGTTCAAGGGTTTAGGGTTGTAAGGGTTTGGGGGGTTTCCTTAAACAAATTATTATTTAGGGTCTTTTATGTAAATACTATAAACTAGAGGGGTTGGCCAATTATGTATCCGTATATAATTGGCTAACCCTCTCTTTTATCGCAGTGGTTCCCTTTTCACTCCGAATGATGATTCTCCATTTTTCTCCGGCGAAGCCTCCGCCAAATCTCCGCCGCATTACGCCGTCTTCCGCCGTTTATCCTCCGAGATTATTCCGCATCTGCGCTATCGACGCTGCGCAGCCATTCGACTATGAGACCCAGCTCAAATCGGAGTACCTGAAATCCTCCGCCCTGAAGATCGCTGTCGTCGGTTTCGGCAACTTCGGCCAATTCCTCTCCAAAACCCTAATTCGACAGGGCCACGACCTCCTCGCTCACTCCCGGTCTGATCAATCCGCTGCCGCCTCCGCCGTCGGCGCTCGCTTCTTCCCCAACCCTCACGATCTCTGCGAGCAGCATCCCGATGTCGTCCTCCTCTCCACCTCCATCCTCTCCACCGAATCCGTCCTCCGATCGTTCCCGTTTCAGCGACTCCGGAGAAACACGCTCTTCGTCGATGTGCTCTCCGTCAAGGAATTCCCTCGCAACATCTTCCTCAAGTATCTGCCTGCAGAATTCGACATTCTCTGCACTCACCCGATGTTCGGTCCTGAGAGCGGGAAGAACTCATGGTCGGGCTTGCCGTTCGTCTTCGACAAGGTGAGGATCGGAAACGAAGCTTCTAGAATCGAGAGGTGCGAGAAATTTTTGAGGGTTTTCGAGAAGGAAGGTTGTAGAATGGTGGAGATGAGTTGTGAAGAGCACGACAAGCACGCAGCAGGGTCGCAGTTCGTGACACACACAATGGGAAGGGTTCTGGAGAAATTCGGAGTCGAATCTTCTCCGATTAACACAAAGGGTTACGAGACATTGCTCGATCTGGTGGAGAACACGGCGAGCGACAGCTTCGAGTTGTATTACGGTCTGTTCATGTATAACCAGAATGCGCTCGAACAGCTGGAGAGGCTCGACATGGCGTTCGAATCGATCAAGAAGGAGCTTTTCGGGAGGTTGCATCATGTTTACAGGAAGCAATTGTTCGGTGGTGACACTGATTTGGGAGAAGGGTCGAAGAACACAGAGCTGAAGTTGCTCGGAAATGGTGTCCCCGTGGAAGAGAAATCGTCGCCTTCTTGAGATAAAGTTGCGGGTTTGGTGTGGGAAATGAAAGGTGGGAGATTTAGAATCAAACCCGTTCTTTGAAACCCAGGTTTGCAACTTTGCATGATCTGAGAATGCTCCTTTGTTCAATTGGGTAATGAAAAATCCAAGCTTTTGAGTAATTTTACTTGATTAGTTCTTGATCTAGACAGTACTGTGAGATGATATACAGCTGTCGGCCATGTCCGTCAGATTTTCTGTGCGGAGGGCTCTTATATCATAAAGACTAAAGAGTAGAACTTTCTTGTCTCTTTTTCCCGGATTTTGTATCTCGAGGATTAGATTCTCTTGAGGACCAGTTTTATGCTACGTATCAAGGGTGAGGTCAATTACTGTTTTTTTAAACAAAATGGAGTATTTGTTGATCAAAATTGGTTGGATAAATTAGTGGGTTCAAACCCAACTTACAAAGTATTTGGGCTTCGATTGGGCTGGGGTTTCTTATCTGAGAAGAAAGATCATGCACGAGGAGATGAGTTTTCTTCCAACTTCAGCTCGCCTTTGGATTGGCAAGTGTTCCTTTTTTTTTTTCCTTCTCTCTCTTCCTGTTTTCTGTTTGATTCCCGGGAAAATAGAATCTTTTCTTTTTTCTAGGCCTTGTCCTTCTTGAATTTCCCTCTTCCTGTGCCTAGCTTTGTCCTAAAAATCAAAACTCTCCGAGAACAAAAATCTCCCATTTCGAGTCTAGGCGTTATACGTCAGCAAACAAGAGCTTGAATTCACAGTTCTGCGTTGGTAAGTCTCATTCTGATGCCGGACTAGGTTTCGTTTTCTCTGTCTCGTCAATCATGTTGATCTGATGGATAACCGGTTTGGTCTGACTAATCTTTTCAGACTTCGACGTATAATTTTCAAATGGGGAACGCTTCCTCGTACGATATCGAAGAAGTTCAAAGCCATTGTCATTATCTATGTGAGGTTTCCTGTAATTACGTATCTGACTCTTTCAATACTTACCAATGCAGCATGAAAATCTTTTATGCCTTTGAGTTTGATCAAAATTCGCTGTTATCCATACTTTCAGTTGGGCAGCAGGAAATTGTATCTCTCTATCGAAGGTTTCGCCAGTTAGATCGGAATGCAAAGGGATTTATCTCAGCCGATGAATTCCTCTCCGTGCCCGAGTTTGCTATGAATCCACTTTCTCAGGTTCCCTTTCCTGTGTTGTTTGACATTTATCTTTGAGAATCTTGTTTGGACAGTTTATGATATGTATCTTTACAGAAACTGAATCCACTGTTCAATTGCATTTGACAAGTTGGATTGCTTGTTTACTGAGTTGTCTGATTTTGGCAGCGGCTGCTTAAGATGGTCGAAGGTTTGAACTTCAAGGATTTTGTGGCGTTCTTGTCTGCGTTCAGTGCCAGAGCAAGTGTACGGCAGAAAGTTGAATGTCAGTATAGTTCTTTACATCAGTTAGTCGGTTTGCTTATTTTCACATTCTTGAAACTCTCATTCATATTTACCGGCAAATCTAGAACCAAGAAGACACCTAGTTCGTGTCTTCACTGAATTAAAAAAAAAACAGTTTGAACCCTGGATTCAGTTTAGTAATAAGGTTATATTATATATCTGCTTGATCCTCTTCCATTGCTGTAGTTATATTTAGAGTATACGACACTGACTGCAATGGGAAGGTCTCCTTCAACGATGTCATGGAAGTGCTGGGGGACTTGTCTGGCTCATTCATGTCCTATGAGCATAGAGAGGTATGTTAAAACACTTGTTTCCTCTACGCCCTGTGATAGAACGCTTCAAAAGCCTTAACCTTTCATGACCCAGTTACTGGCCTTCTTCTTTGTTCTCTTCTCTGCGTACCATGCGCATGATTTTTATTCCTGGGCTGTATTATTATAGATAGTGCAAAAAAAAAAAAAAAAATTTGTTCATGAGCTTGTTTCATGTCCGCCTTTACCATAAATGGGGAGCAGCAAGTGCTGGGCCAAGTGCTGAGGGAATCCGGTTACACAAGAAACTCTTACCTGACACTCGAGGATTTTGTCAAGGTGCTTCTTCTTCCCTCTGTAAAAACTTGTTTGCGGTGTGAACTTTGAGCTCCGTGCAAGACCAAGACGACAACCCATTCATTTTCATGGGATATGGAGTCTGATATCAGTCGCACATCTCAACTCTTGTCTCAGGTATTTGGGGATTCTGAGCTGAAAATGGAGGTTGAGGTTGCCGAGGACTAAGCCTCTCAGTTTGAACTGAAGGCAAATCAGAGAATCTTTTCATCAAAGGGTTTCTTGTTAGCTTCTGATAGTTCGGTCCTAAAGGTTTTGTCTGAACTCAAGAAACTGATACAACTAATTTTCATTTACACACTGATACTACTTGTGTTTTTTTTTTTATATATGATTTGATTGTCTGGTTTTGTCAATGCCAAGTATGCCAGTTCTGGTCCACACATCTTTAGGTATGAATATAATCATACAATATGTGCATCTTATCATTTAGATTGAAAAAAAAGAAATATAAATTTTTAGTAACCCATCCGAGTTATATACACACACACATATACTCATTTATTTTCTATCTTATTATCTGTTGTTGCATGCTTATATACACATACTTATATATATATTTTTTACCGTATTGTATTTCTTTGTAAGGCATCAAATCGGTCTAGTTAACGTATGATTTTATAAATGTAAGCAAATAGTTAATTATATATTTTTTATCATGATAAGTACAAACAATTATTGTTAAGTATCGTATATGAATGAAATACCATAAGCAAATATTTATTTATCAACTCGTCCGTGGGACCCATTCTTCCTTCTTATCCTCAAGCGCTTTGGGTTGTCAACACCCAAGCCCAAGCCTGCCTCAGGGGTGATTCATCGTCCACGTGTCGCCTGATTGTTGGTTCGAACTTAGGTTCGGCTCATGGCCACTTTGCACCCTTCTATACTCTTGCTTCTCTCTTCTTCCTCAGCTTCTTCATCGTCTCTTCCGGAACAACCACCGTAGGAGGGAAAAAATCAATACACTGTAAAACGTTTTTCCTGGAAAATCTGGGATCGATCACGACGATGAGCTGGTATGTATCGTCTGATTCTGTTTGTTTCCTGGGAAAATCGATCGTCCAGTAAAACTGTTTCCCGCAAAACAGTTCCGTTTCACTTTGCCCCCTTTTTTTTCCCGATTGAATTTCACAATTTTCTTTGGAATTCACTTTTCAAAGTTCTTTTTCTACATGTTAATATGTTTAGATTTCGGTTTCTTTTTCAGAAAAGATTGTTGCTTTTGTTTCATTTTTTTTTTCGACTGTCTGGAAATTATGCCCCTCACCCTCATGTAGTGTTGATTCTCAAGGACTTTTATCTTTTCTTCTCTTTTTTTTTTTTTTTAATTTTATTTGTGTGTTTTTCTATGATCGATGGAGAGCATGGAGTTGTGGCAGATGGATTTGTTTGGCGTCTCTACGGGATGATCACAACTAACTTGTGTTGCCTGAAAAATCCATACGATAAATACAAATTCCTTGCAAGTTTCCATTTTTCTTTTTCTCAAACTCAGTGTATTGTTTTCGCTTTGGAGAAGATCAATTTTGTCTTTTGAAGCAATACATACATACATACATATATATATATATATGTATATATATTCCCATTTGTGTGTGACCAAGCAAGCTTAGGGGAACTTGGAAATTGGTTCTGATAAGTGGGCGATCAAATTTTTGTTTTTTTTCATTTTCTAGAGCAAGTTGTTGGATTTTCATAAACTTCATCATGGGGGGAGCTTGTTCAAGGAAGAGAGATCAACAGGATGAGGAGATTTTAAACAGAGGAGTCTCTGGAAAATACTGCAAAAGTTCTAGCTCGAAGTGGTTAGCAACTTCGTTCACTAGGCCTGGTTTTGTTGTTCAAAGAAAAAATGGTGAATGCCCAACACTTATGGAGCTCTGCCTCCGCAAAATAGGAGAGGTACATTGTCTTCCACTCATTATTTCAGGGCTTTAATCTTCATTTATTATCCGGGAACTGACTGTTTGCTTCGCAGGACATTGATAGATACTCCAAATTCTCTGACTTGCCAAGGGATATCAGTCAGCAAATCTTTGATGAACTGGTGTACTCTCAACGGTTGACTCTGAAGTCTCTCGAGGCATTTCGAGACTGTGCAATCCAGGTGAAACTCCTCAGAGATAGTTTTGTTAACGAATGCCTTGATGTCCGTGTCGTGTCCAAATGGTGCGGCCAGTGTCTTTTGGCTGATTCCTGATTTGTGCAAAAACAGGATCTTTACTTGGGAGAATACCCCGGTGTAAATGATGACTGGATGGATGTCATCTCCTCTCAAAGCACATCGTTGCTTTCTGTTGATTTTTCTGAGTCTGATATCACGGACTCTGGCCTGGCTTATTTAAAAGGTTGCAAAAATCTGGAATCCTTGAACTTTAATTTCTGTGACCAGATATCAGACCATGGGCTAGAGCTTCTCAGTGGTAAGCTTTTGCTTTGTTTTCTTGTTTATTGTACTGTATGACAACACAATCCATTATGCCTCTCCTAATTGGTGTAATGAAACTTTAGCTCGTATATGTTCCATGGAGGTTTCCTGTTGATGTTTCGCTACACAATAATTGTGCTTTACAACTTTTAAAGTTGCATTTGGAGAACTTTTCAAGGGATTTAAAGGATTTTTATGTGCTATACTACTGGCTGCAGTCTTTCACTTTCTTGATTTCTGTGATTAAACCTTCCAGGCCTCTCAAATTTGACAAGCTTGAGCTTTAGAAGGAATGCTGCAATCACTGCGCAAGGAATGCGTGTTTTTTCCCGTTTGGTTAACTTGAAGAAATTGGATCTCGAGAAATGCCCTGGCATTCGTGGTGGGCTCGTTCACCTTCGAGGTACAAAACTGCTTGTTTGTTATTTTCTATCCCCGTGTTTGGTCTTCATTTCTCTGTCTTCACTATTACTTGGGCTGTACATGCTATGTGCATACTGATGGATCAAGTTAGGTGGGTTATGGATTGAATTTGTGAACCACTTAAGGTTACAGGTGTGGATATTGGTTTGCGGTCAGACTTGATAATTGCTGATATCGATCATTCTATCATTTTTTCACATTTTTTATGTGGAATATGCTGTACTATTTTATTTAGCTTACATGTAGTTTTCTGTTTTTTCCAGGTTTAACTAAATTAGAATCTCTTAACATAAAATGGTGTAATTGCATTACAGATGCAGACATGGAGTCTCTTTCAGGTAGCAGCAACATGCATCACCTTCAGATGTTTTTCTATATTTCTGCCCATTTATTTTCTTACCTTGCTTTATTTCAGGTCTTACAAACCTCAAAAGCTTGCAGATCTGCTGCAGTAGGGTTACCGATCTTGGTATCAGCTACCTTAAAGGTATTCAAAGAGCGG